TGCCTTCCCTCCAGTCTTACACTGCTAAATTAGGGAGCGCTAGTGCAGATAACCCTCGTGTAGCTTTGCGCAAAATTCAAAACAAACAAACTCTCAATAAAATCGAATATAATGTTATTTAACTATTTCAGACTATTTAACTTATCAGCTGTTTGGTTTATTCAAATTATTGTCCCAACAAAAACCTAAAAAAAAAGCCATTTATCATCTAAACTTCGACCAACGAAGGCAAAGGAGAAATAACTGTTATAAATTTACACCAAACGACGCAAGTTTTGTTTGTATTTCAACAGAATGGGGGGGGGGGGACGATGGAGGGAATAAAATATCTAAAAGCGCCATGCTATATATTATTCTAATATCATCAGTCATCCAAGGTTGAGAGCTGTTGAGAGCTGAACGATATTTTCACGACCACATGGGTCAGGTAAGAGATTCCTAATGTTCAGGTATAACCGTCCTTAACTTTGAACTGTTGACCAAAAGAAAGGTAACCGGCTACAATAACCAACCGCCAGAAAGGCTTTGTTACTCTTATACGCGCCCACAGCTGAAATTGGTGAGCGTGTTAAGTTGTATCACACGTTAAGCCTTAAACCCATCTTTCTGCAGCCCATAACGCTTATCCACTAAGCCACGCCCTGTCATCTAGTAAGAAGAATATTTTTTAAAAGTAAAGCTTGTATTTAAACTCTTGAACTATTTTGTTCATCTCGGTTCTTTTGCACACTATAAAGTCTAATCATAAGTCTTTTGTTTCTTTAATAGGCAGACTGGTTCAATACATTAAATATAACGAGTAAAGAACGCCCGCGCTCCGCTGTAGGGTTCAAAGGCCTCCTCATGATTCCGAGAGGATCCAATGTATGGATGAAGCTTTTTTGTTATCCCAAATTACTTCTATAACTATGCCAAGGAGGGTACGTCGTCGAAAACAGCCCCCATTAGAACACACGCACGTGGTACCCGAGCACTTGTGCCACATTTAGTCTCGCTAGCTCTTGAGTGAGAGTATGAACACAGTTTGAAACGGATCGTAAAGAGAGCCAGAAACGCAAAGTTCGATGCCAGATTCGGGTTCAGCGACCCGAAAAACTTACTTCTAGACATCATCATACCTTGTTGACCTTCTGACCATATAGATAAGGACACCCCTTGAGCTACCCTGCCAAGATTGATCCTTCTAGCTTCAAAACTTTGAGAGGGGTTCGCAAATAAACGAACTAAATTTCAAACACAAAACGTGAGTTATAATAGGATAAGACTGACCTTCTGACCATATAGATAGGGACACCCCTTGAGCTACCCTGCCAAGATTGGTCCTTCTAGCTTCAAAACTTAGAGAGGGGTTCGCGAACAAACGAACTAAATTGCAAACACAAAACGTGAGTTATAATAGGATAAGACTGACCTTCTGACCATATAGATAAGGACACCCCTTGAGCTACCCTGCCAAGATTGGTCCTTCTAGCTTCAAAACTTAGAGAGGGGTTCGCGAACAAACGAACTAAACTGCAAACACAAAACGTGAGTTATAATATGATAAGACATTTCCTTATATCATGATAAGACAGATATACGTGCACTATGTCGTTTCTTTAGGCAATAATCCTGCGAAACGGTAGAAAACATGATTTGATAACCTCAATATTTTAATTTCGACCGATTTAATATGCAGAAAATGTTTTGAACCTACGAAAATAATGGCAAGACGAACCATTTTGAAGTTCATGGTATTAACGAGAAAAGCAACTGACTACGTCATCTTTAAGTTCTTAATGAACAAAATGATAAGGGAAAGTTTTATCTTGTGATTCGGTTCGCCTTTCCAAATCATACCTGTATCGGGGATTGTGATAAGCCCGAGATAAACACGTTGATCAACTCTTTTTCTTTGTTTTTCATTTTGAGCTGTGCTTAATGAATTTACAAAAAATAACAACTATGAAAGCTAGTAGACAGTTGTAACTAAGCTGTAGCCAATAAGCTCACTTGCATGCTTAACATTTGATCAAATTCATGTGTTTTAAACTATTTTTTGGATGGAAATTAAATATTTTAACCTACATGAATTTTCCGATATTATTATATACTACATTTTAGGATCATATATGTATGTATATTCTTATAAAAGTTACTCATTTCCACAACATTTCAATTACCATTCTGTATCATTATCGTCCCATATATACGACACGTTTTAATATACTGTTACTCATCTGCACATCTCCATTGTAATTGTATTATTCACAATCAACCCATAGATATATATATATATATATACACGACCCGCCTTCATGTACATTTTACCCAAGACAGTACTTTTATATGGTCTTACACGCCGTTTACGTCATTGTATGTATATGAGTATGACGCGTTACACTTACAATAAACTTTCTGTACCACATAGCTTGGCAACGTGCCTAGATGTTGAACGTAGTTGCTTGTAGCCTGGCAGCTGTGAAGACTTGTCCCTGTTGGTCCTATTCTGAATTATACTTCCGTTATTTGAAGCCAGTACTTTTGATATTTTACTGGACGATCAATTCACCCATTTTTACCTGGTATCTGGTTTACATGTGTTCTTTGTGCACGTGATCTTTGTCCTGTCTACGTATCCCCCTCCCCGTCCACGACTTTATCTGATATACGATTTATTTATTTTTTCTTTATAGCGCGTGACCTTTGACCACACCTTCAGCTATGGCCACCGTAGGCTCTGAAACTTTGTCCTGCGATCGTTCTGCTGTTACCCTTACAATTCGATCGATCATGCAAGGCAAGGTGAGTAATATAGGTGTAATTATTTACGTATATGATATATTATTTTGAATAACTTAGGAAACCGTGAAACGTAATACTCAACAACAGGCCCTAGTGGCAGATTTAACTAATTTTGTTTATTTATATTAACGGTAAAGCTACTATGGCTGTCTGCTGTTGTTTATAATTTTGTATGGCTAGTAGTTACATGAATGATATGGTACTACTGACTGGTGCCTTCCCTATGGCTAGTAGTTGGGGAAGGCACCAGTCAGTAGTACCCTATCATTCATGAACTACTAGCCATAGGGAAGGCACCAGTCAGTAGTACCATATCATTCACGCTAAGGGATTGACTGTCAACTCTTAAAATGGACTCACAGCTTAATATGCAGGAAATATTTCGAGGTTTAGCACGTATAAGAATCCGGCTCATCAGTTCCAAAATCTAGAGGTCTACCGCAAAGCCAACCCGGGCCACAAGATATAATGAAATAGCTTACAGTTCAAGGAATAGTTGGCCCGGCATGGCCAGGTGGATAAGGCACTCGCAATCTGAGGGTCGCGGGTTCGAATCCCCGTCA